ATATATAACCCTATATCTGACTCTTTTAGTTTTAGGACTTACAAACAACCGTTATGTGAACAAAACTATAATACTCCCTTTAGCAACTTTGTTGCGAGAGTATAACAAGCAAATGATTTAATATTTCATAATAAAAAAAACTAAATATAAAACATATAAAAACGGAGATATTGTCTACGTTAAAGTAAATTACGTAGAGAAAATAGTTCAGGAGGATTTAGGTACAACTGTTAAAATAAGCAGAAGAAAAGTTCATAAAGACAATATTCGTTAATTTCAGGTTCTGGCTTACAATCGCTTCAGCAAAGATAACAGACTACTCTAGGTCGTTCTATATACCTATAGCGGATGGAGAAGTCGCAACTTATAATGACACAAAATTCCTCATACACAAAACGGAGCTAAATAATTTTGTAAAAAAGGCCTATGAAAATCTCCACATAGCAGAACGTTTCACATATCCAGAACTACAGAAAACAATAGAAATAGAGTCGCAACAAGTAATAAGACTAGTAAATATGTTGACTTTACATCATAGGTATTCACGCAGTATAAACTTATTAGGATCGGCACTTAAATTTGTCGCCGGTGCACCGGATTTTTATGATTTCAATGAAGTAAAAATAAAAACTGAGGTACTAATAGAATCCAATAACGATCAGTTAATAATAAAAGCAGAAATCACTAATAAAAACAATCAGATAACGGAAAGAATAAATGAACTAAAAAATGATAATGGAATAACAAAAGAGGATAACATTTTTGAACTTATTTCACATAGAAATAATATTATCATATTAGAATTAGAAAATATTACTTATTCAATAATGTTGATTAAAATGGGTGTAGTTAACCCACTTTTATTAACAGACAATGAACTAATAGATATAAATGCAAGCTTAAGAGATAAAATTTGCATAACAAATATACTAAGTAATTCTAAATTTAAGGTAATGCAGAATAACGAAACGATATACACTCAAAATTATTAAAAAATTGTAATAATAAAACAGTCATTAATTTTTGTCAAATGAAGATAAACCGAATTGTTTATTAGATCTGCTTAACAAAAACACAGCCCATTGTAACATTAGTTATGCTAAAAACTATAAAAAAATCGACAATGTAAGAGAGGGCATAATAATATTAAATAATGATAAATTTATAATACAAGATGGATTTAATTAAAAAATAACTATAAATGGAACAAATTTAGTAATATTTGAGGGTAAAGTAACAATCAACAATACAATTTTCCAAAACAAGGAACACAGAGCTTATGACAACATAGAGCACCCCGGTTTACAGAAATTAAACATAGTAAAAGAGTTGGAAGAACTAACCTGGGAAAACCTTGACCAAATTGATATTACAAACATTAAAAGAATATCAAACATAAACCAAAAGATAGAAACAAACCACAGTAGCATGAAGATAATTTTATGCGTTGTCACAATGATTCTATTCATCATAATAGTTGCAAAATTTTGTAAACGCACAAAGATTAAACTTATAATGAGGAGGCAAACTCAACAAAGTAATGACCTAGTCATTGAAGAAATATTGAGGCAGGTCAATGCAAATGATACAAATAACAGCGAATAATCGCGGACGATACGATACTTAAGAAAGGGAGGAGTGAACACATGACTCCCACGCCATGACTTCCACTCTAAACATCATATCACTACGCTAAATCCATTTGCAGGGAACATGCGACATCAGCAGTTTTAGATGATTTCCATCAACCTTGAAGTCATTATGTTCCCACGCCAGTTGGCAGCGCTCGCAATCAGATGCTAGCTGCTAATAGACTAAACAAACAAAGTCGGCAATAAAAGGAACTACAACGTATGAACAGCTGCGGTTCCAGTTTCCTACATGTTTTGTAATTCATAGAATTAAGTACATAGAATAAGGTATATGAACTAACGCATAGATCCAATTTTAAGTTAAGCCACAAAATTATGTTCTCAATAAAGCTAGTAAGTTTTTAGCAGCCAAGCAATCAAGTTTGATTTTATTCAAAGTATACTTTAATACGAGTAAGTTTTCAACCAACAACAACCCACTTGCAACTGTTTGAGCTTGTTCACCAAGTCGAGCGAATAGCAAGTACAAACGCAACTGGCACCAAAGGACTTATTCAACTTATATACAGAAAAACGGACAGACAGACGGCCATGGATAAATCGACTCAGTTCGACATACTGATCATTTGTATTATATACTTATTGCTTGTAGGTGTTACAAACTTCGTGCCAAACTTAATATACCCTGTTCAGGGTAGCAAAATGTGTCGCCACACCGCCAAGAACCATTTCTCAACCAATCTATTCAATAGAACCAAAATATTTCACAGAAATCAGCGAAAGATATCGCAAAACAGAATATGCAAAGTTTCGGTGCACATTGATTGACACAAATATAAAATTGAAACGCTTTTAAAAAAACATGCGTACGATCAATATGTGATGAAAAAATCATGAAAATGCAAACGAATTTATGTGAACCTATTCAGTTGATCGGCAGTGTATCTAATATAAAGATTTGCAAGCTTCCTGGTGACTTTATGTTGGGTGTACCGGTAAATATTTGAGGCATCTCAATTAAAATTACATAACATGTTTACTCATATATCTTTGTGATTAAATTGTATACAATTGTGCGAAAATGTGACATATCCCCCATATAACTATTAACAGGATTTTCGAGCATGCGGCTGACTTTACTTCATATGATTAGGTACCTTAATGAAACCCAGGAACATTTTTTTAGTATGTGACATGGTAATAGTGGCACTCTTGAACTCTTAAATGAAGTTAACGACGATACGGAATCACTGAAAAGTGTTATAACAGGTGACGAAAGCATGGTTTATGGATATGACGTAGAAACTATGTATCCAGCGTCACAGTGGAAACATCCTGCCTCGCAAAGACTGAATAGGGCTCAACAAGTGCATTCGAACGTTAAGGTCATGCCTAAAGTGTTCTGCGACTTTAATGGCATAGTGAAGCCTGAATTCTTGCTTCAAGGTAACGGTCAATAAGGAATACTACCGACAAGTTCTACGTTTAAGCTTACAGCAATTAAGAGAACCTAAATGGCGTCGTTTTACAAATAGAGTAAAAAGTTCGGTTACACTCGAATTTCAGGAATATTTATATATTGCTAGTTAAATATTATACCTCGGCGCTCTTTTAATACTCTCATAACCAGTTTACAGATTATTATAGTTTTGTTCACCTGACGGTGAATCACCTAAAACTAAACTAAAACTATATATTGGGTTTTATGTATATAAATGATTCCAATGACGAGAAAAGTTGAAATCCGGTTGTCTGGCTGTCTGTCCGTCCGTGCAAGCTGCAACTTGAGCAAAAACTGAGATATCTATATGAAACTTGGTATGTGACTTCCGTAGTACAAAAAAAAAATCGAGTTCGTAGACGGGCGTAACCACTGCCACTCCCACAAATCGCCATTAAACGAAAACACATAAAGTGCCATAACTAAGCACTTAATTAAGATATAAAGCTGTAATTTGGCATAGAGGATCGCAGTAAGAACCGCTCTCTAAAAAGTTTGAGTGCATATCTCCTAAACCGCTTAAGCTACAAAACCAAATTGGCTGAGTACAAATATCATAAGAATAAATTTCTATCGACATTGTGAAAATGGATGAAATCTGAAGATAACCCCGCTGTTAAAAACTACTAACAGCGCGATAAATCAATAACTAAAGACGCCAGAGATATCAAAATTTACCACCGAAATGACACAAGAGACTTTTATGAGAGCCATTTTTTGGTGAAATCCTATATTTCGAGACCCGACTAACTGATTTCGGCAAAACTTTATACGTGGCATTATTTTAACATTCCTTTGTTACATTGTGAAAATGGACGAAATCAGAAAACAATCACGATTACTTCCCATATAGCACACTTTTAATTTATACTTGATTCGTTTAGTTTCCTGTACGGAAATCCAGAAGCAATTAATATAACGATATAAAACTTTGCCCGAATAATGTCTTTAGTGTGTCCAATAAAAACTGTTCAAGCCCCTAGGTACCGACTACGTTAGCTGTAAACTATATCGAAAATGTCGGCCAATGTGTGAGATATATAACTGAAATTAAGGTATAATCCTTCTCTTACAATGGTACGTCTATGTGTCAAAAATGGGTTCAAACGGACCAATACTATCTTTTGCCTACATATACTTAATATAAAGATTTTCGATCTCTTAGGTGACTCTGGGCAATATGTGAGTTAGGTAAATGAAAATAAGAGATCGTGTTTTATTCATAAAAGTGTATCTTCGTGCCTAAAATAGATAAATTTGAGCGAAAACTTGGCCAATGACCTATATAACTAATATCAGGATTTTCGACCACTTTATTCTATATGATTGCTTTGACACCTTAAAGCTTTTAATTGGTTTTGATTCTTGAAAGTTGCAAGAGTATAAAATGTTCGATTGCGCCCGAACTTAGCACTTCCTTACTTGTTTTAAATAACTTCATTTATATGACTGTATAACTATTTCATTCGACTAATTTATTTTCATATACTACAGAATTAACTTTTAAATCTCAGCTTAGTAATTTTAAGTCATTAATTGTACAGTATTATTTACTTCATAATGGATTTCCTGTCAAGAATCATGATAAATCCTGGGTTACACATTAATGTTGTGTGACGTATGTGAAACTAATATCGGGATCGGTTAAACAAGAACCAGACATATGCTGTTGGAATTGGAACGAACCACGGAACCATGCTAAAAATGCTAATTTTCGTTTGATTCAAAAAATGGGACTACAACCAAGTCCAAACACACTACGTAGTGTCCAAACTTGTCTTCGGCTAACATACGCATCCCACGTAGTACTGAACTGCCTGTGCCAAAGCCTCCAACTCGATTTGTATATCTGAAAGAAAAATTCAAAATTTTCTAGGAATCCTTATATCAGAAAACTACAAAGCCTTTATAAATGAACGTATAATTGTCATATAAAGGTTTGTAATATGTCCTTAAAATACATATGCTGGAATCTCATCTGAATTTCTTTCCGCCAAATTTGGTTGCTGTAAGTTACGAACAGGGCGGTAGGTGCCAGCAGGACATTTACTTAATGGAGAAAAACTATCAAGAGAAACGCGCAGGTATGCTACCAGATTATTGTTGGAGATTTAAAAGAAACCGTCGAATAAGAAAATACTACGAAAATCCTAGGTATTTTTTCTATATTTAGCAATAATACCTTTAAATGTAATTGATGTTTGTACTTTTTAAGAAAAAACATGTTTTGATGCAACAAGAAAACCTGACGTGCCAAGTTTTTTTCATTCACCTAGTAATGTTTAGTGGCTTTCCAACCAGTCTTATTTACGTTGCGGAATATACATTATCAAATACTTTGTTTCTCTACGTAGCATGAAATATCAACTTGCAATACCTTCTTTACTTGACAAAGTTATGCAGTGCATATGCAATATAATTGTCACGTAATTAAACAATTCAGGATTCATTATAATTATATAATATGTATAAAACGCTTACTGTGTTATCAAACGCAGCCTGATGTATAATTGGAGGTTTTAAGTCTTTACGCAGTACCGTGCACATAACAGGATCCGACCAGCAACGAGGAATAATGGCCTTTAACGTTGAGTCGATCTTAACTTCAGTATTATTTAAGTAACACCTGGAGAAATGGTAAATAATAGTATTTATGTTAATGCTTATTTATGTTTATGAATTTATACATGTTATATGAATTTATATTCATATGCAGTTTGCAATATCACATCCTTTTGAGCCTATTAAATATAACATTGCTTCCGATACCTTTGGAACTCCAAAAGTCCCGTATTTTCCTCGATTAACATCAAATGTATTACGTTTGAATATCGTAAACACGAAATAATTAAATTTTCGAACGAAAACATTTTTTTCATGATACGTCGTAAAGTCAGATACATCAATTTTGTATACATAACCATTTTTATTATTGTATTATCCTTTTTACAGTCTGGTTTATAAAAGCCAGATAAAATTGGCTATTTTATGGAAAATGGATATACCTACGAGCATATTAGTTGTAAACTTAATATCCCACAAAATAATTTATAGCTTATATTTTTTTACAAAATCGTTAACACATCTACGACATTTGTAGAGAAAAAAGTGAGTAAGATTTAATATCTAGGGTATTCATATAGTCTCATAAGATTATAGTCATAAATAAAAATGTAAAAAAAACCACAATAGTTGTGACCATCTTGTTATAAATTTATTGTGGTAAATCAATTATTAATCAGCTGAACAAAAAGTTACAATTTGATTTTGATTCATTTCCAGAAATAAGTACTTCGCAGCCAAAAAGCAAAGGAGTAGTGAAAATTTTAAAGTAATGGATGAATTTTACAAGAATCAAGTATTAAATCTAATGATACTTGACTCAAATGACTCTTACCATTATAGACCAAACTCACTTTTCGATTTATTTTAAATATTTCTTTAGGTAAAAATTTCTTTAAAGGGCACGACGAAACTGCGGACGATATGTACCAAAATTTTTCGTTGAGCATACTTCGCTTATTGAACACTCGTAGAAGTGTACATCGGGAATACCAAAGTCATCCCAAAGATAATATAATGCATTTGTTAACTTTGGTGACAGTCGTTTCAACAAAATGCGGAAAGATATGCCACGTTGTTTAGGATAAGTTAATGGATCCGAATAAAAGTTCGCTGAAGCGCTTGCCTAAAAATATTATGATGCTAAATGAGCCTCTGACCCCCTGACACAGTATATAGTAGCAACTGCTGCAAAACACACATCATGCATACCACATCTTCATATACATCACATCTTGAAGACACGCCACATCTTCATTACACACCACATCTTCATGATACACCACTTCATACAATCCACATCAGGCGCACACAAATACCACCACCTCAAAAATGCAACACACATGATAACACGAAATGGGTCAATTGCAGTTTGGTGTATTCTCCATAATATGCTAACCAATTTCCAAATAGAAAACGCAGAGGACATTGAAATTGACTCGTTTCAATATATAACATTACAACTCAGTATACAAAATAACTCAAAAATTAATAGAAAAAGTAATTACTAATTCAAAAATTCATGTACTGTAAAGAATTTAAACTCTCCTTTATTTGTATTTGTGTTTCAAGTCTTCCATTGCCAATATATATTTAATTTGTATTTCCGTTATTTTCAATGTTTCTTGACTGTGAATTCTTTTCTTTGTCTTTTAGTGCGTATTCTTGTGTTTATCTCAAATTCATGTCTTTCTCTCTAAGCAGCAATTCCCTTTACCCAAACTGCAACTACTTCTTCTTAAAACTCATTTCTTGCTGTAGTTTCTGTTTTTCCAGTTGGATTATTTCAGATTGAAATTGTAAAACACATATTTCACACCGCAGCTCTCGAATGGACTTTCTCAGTCCCACTTTCACTTTCATTAACAGCCGTAAAAGACACTGGCTCGTTCAAAAGCTTCCGAATAATTTAAATTATTACTCTCTCCAAACTTTCATGGATTACTGCCTTCAACCAGTCCACCGCCAAAAATTCATTCATAAAATTGGTACACATTTTAACAAAAAATTATGTAAAATATTATTATTTAAACAAATGGCTTTCTTTGACTGCACAAAATTTCATCGATTTATCTGTTTATGAGAAAATAATTTTACAATTTTATAGTGCACTAAATTTCAACCTTCAATAACTTTACCAAAAAATTGAATTTTGAAGAAATATTTATATTACGAGGAATGCGTTTGATCCCCTTCCTAATGAACTGCTAATTTTCAAAATCGGTAATTTTTCAAAATTTTCATGGACCACTTGACGTGATTTGACCCATGTGCGATGTACTGCAAAATATTAATAGTAGTTCGAAGCCGATGACTTACGGCTTGATGTTAGTTTTGGTTTTTAGTTTAATGTTTTTTGACGACGAACCGATGCTTTGTATATTTTTTTTATTTCACGGGAGCAGCAAGTTTTGCGAGAAATCAGTAGCTCCCCGCTGAATCACGAACGCAAATTTTTAATGTTGCGAGGATTATCCAACGATGAAATAATCATATCAGTAAACTGTGGTTATTTTGTGCATAAACCTTGGATTTGTATGATGATGAACAATGGGCTACTTGATCTCTCTTTGCGTTAAAAATTAAAAACCTTATGGTTGTATAGCCGTATAGCCTCTTGGATAACTCCTTGATGTCGTAGTGGAGTATTCATTATCTCCTTGACATTATAACTTCAATAACATGTGTGTTTCCCAGTAACTCCAGATACTGACAGTGTCTATAATCAAATCATATGCCTTTTGTTTGTTTGCTCACGAGACTTCTGCAAAATTAAATAAAGAAGCATAACTTGAGAGATTTTTCTGTCACTACGTAGTGATGCCAAGGAACCATAAATAACCTGAAGCCTTATTAATCAAACTTCTTAGCTGAATGCCGTTTGTTTTCTTGACTGCTATTGAACAACGATGCAGTAAAATAGTAACCACATTTCGAAATGATATGCCAAAAAACAAACAACTTACTCTTGCCCCGCGATGTCAAAAAATATAGGGGTACAAAGCAAATATACAAACATCAAGAAAAGTCTAAACGAAGTTGCAACAACGATGAAGAAGCAATCTAGTAATGACGCTATGTATGGTCAGCTGTTAGACTATCTTTATTTCAAAGTTCAACCCCTTAAATAATATTTTAAACAATATAATTTCGTTTTGTATTATTTAATATTTGTGTATTTTTTAATAAAATATAAAAGGAGAATAAAGTAACGCTGTTGTTGTTGTTGTAACGGCAGAATTCTGCCGAGTTGACAGTCCTTGGCCGGATAAAAATCCGGGTCCGTTCCGGTTTTCGTAGACCCGACTGTCGTGGGAACGGACGGAAAATTAAAGTAACGCTATTCCTCCTTGGTATAAAAATAGGAAGACAGCATTGCAATAAGGTGCTATTATTTTGAAACTATTTGAAAAAAATTTCACGATATTTAAATTTTGTTTTGTTAAAACGTCTGCTTAAAAAACAATTTTCAGTTTTTTTCCTTCGTCCAAGTTCTTAGTTTAGGTTTTAACGAAAACACGTATTTTTTCACTTTATATGGTCATGTAAGGAGTTATGCTGCCAACACGGTCGTAATTTTTTTTCCCGAGGGGTCACCGGAAATGGCGTCGCAATGGCCGAGTTTAAAATCTTTTTTACCAAATTTCGAAGTTCTTTGTTAATGCTTATGTTATGTTTGTAAAAGTGAATATTTAATTTTTATATGAGAAAAAAATTGATGAAAAAGGCGGTTCGCCATGCAACCCCTTACGAGGTTAGGGTTAGTCAGGGGCACGAAAAAATTAGAATTTTCAGTATTTGTTTTTTGCTATTAAATCGTGTTGTGTTATAAAAGTAGTAATATGGCACTATTTCCATAATGTTTTGACTTCAAGTCATGAAAATTTCAAAAAAAAAATTTATTTCCAAAGTTATAGTTGCTTGTGTTGACCCAGTTACTAAAAAAGGTACTTGCGGTGACAACCATAAGTCCTTGGATATTCATCTAAAATCAATCGGACAGATAAAGTTTGTTTTATAAATAGATAATCCTGGGCCTGATCGAAGGATTTTTTTTTTTTTAATTAACCAAATGGCGGCCTTAGGATATTTTTTCTAAATTTTTGGGAAAAAGTCAACATTATGATTATCACAATTAAGCGATTAAACAAAGTGATTTCAAATTTGGAATTTTTCCAATGAAATTAAAAAAAATTCTGATAATAATACGAGAAACGAAAATTAGTTGGTGAAATTTTAGTTTAAATGAAAAAACGAAAATTCATATGTTAAATGCTGGTTATATTGTTACAAATGCATCAATGGATCTTGATGCGCCTGATGAAGAGCCAAATGAAGACATGACAATTAAAGTCGCTGAAAATTTAGGTGTGACAACGGAAGATGCAGTAATGGATCCAAAAGCCAAGAAGAAGAAACAGATGGGAAGTCTACCAACCAAATAAATACAACAATCACCAAAAGAAGAAAGTAGTGATAAATACAACAATCACCAAAAGAAGAAAGTAGTGAAGACTAGAATAATAAAGTGCAAAAAAATAAATATCACATCCAAGGTATAGCGTCGTCCGCGAAAGAAGAAAAGTCGACAGGATACTTTTGTAATGAAGTTTCAGAAATAGTTATGAGCAAACTATCATTAATTCAACAAAGAAAAACGCATAGTCATCGTGAATATCACTTAGTTGGTGAACATGACACGATCACAAACTGTAATTTCTTTTGTCGCCCGGGAGAATGTTTAAAATTGAACATGTTCATTGCTTCAAAATGGCGGAATGTATTAACATACTTATATTTAAATATTTTTATATTCTTTACAAATGTTAAATAAGAATGAAATATTTCTCAGCTTGAATAAGGTCTTTGTTTTCTTCCACCAATGGTAAGGATCTAAAGAATCTTATTTAAGTTTTAACGTTTGATCATACAAATCAAAAAGTTTGATTTTACAAGTGAAACACCGAATATTTTCGAAGAAATAGGCTCCAGAAATACTGCACTTCAAGAAGCGGCTGTATAGTTAGTATCAAAACTTTGAGGCTCGTTTCTTCGAAACTAACT